GTAAGTTGGAAAATCAAATTGTTCCACACTGAAAATATCAAAATGAGATGCTTAGCCTCGCTGGGATGCTATGTTGCTTTCTAAAAGGAAATGGCATCAAGACCAACACCTTTACAAGCAGCCTGGATCATTAAGAGCTTCAAAAAAAGACCTAAATCAGCATAAGCAATTAATATCTTAATCAATTTTCCTCCTTTTCTTCTAAAAGAAAGTATAAAAATATTGATTTTTTTTTTCCAAATTATCAAAAGATTTCTGTATATATGTTGCCTTTACTGTATGGTTAAACTTGAGCTTGAGCTGTGTGAATTAGATGGAGTGGTTCATATGAATCACGCCACTGCTCAGGCTCCGTGATGGGCATTGATCATATCAACACTTGCTGGGCTGCCAGCGGGACAAGTAGCCACTGGATTTGCCCTTGGTGTTATATGTGCAGGAGATGGCAATTGAGCCCCTTGCAACTCATATCGTGGATGTTGAAAGGAAAAGTAATACCGAGATTGGAATTTTATACATGCTTGTAATCTAAAGATGGACAAAACGTGGGTTTGTGACCATTTTCCTACTGTGGGTGAAATTGAAAAATGAAAAATTGGAGATCTGGGGAGTTGTGCTCACTTTGTCATTTTTTATTCTCCTTCCTCGTCCTGCTCATTTCTGTTTCAATGGCAAAATAGGAACAGGGTAAAAGCAAAGGGGAGAATAATAGAGGGAAAGAGAGACTTGGAGGGAGAAATACAGGGGAAATGAAAAATTGAAATATTTGGACAGCTTGATTTGCTAGAGATATTTCCAAATGAAACACATTTCTTGTGGAAGCCTTTCCGAGGAGAAAAACAAAACCGAGGAGCTTTTCCTTCTGATTTTCAATTGTCTCTCCCCAGTGCAGAACCTGAATGAACCTTGGCTGCACATCCCAGGTGGGGTTTGCCTGTTACCTGTCCCACAGTGTCTTTAACACAGAGATAATAAAACCGCTGCTGGCAATGAGCATGGCTTTGCTGGCTGCTCCTCAGCGCCCTGCATTGAGGATGCTTCTGCAAGTCAGCAACCAGAGGTTCCCAGCCGTGTTCTCACAGCAGCCCCCTATAGATGGACTCCACAGGGTCATCTTACGTGGACGTGTCCTCCAGATCTGGATGGTTGCACTTGTGTCCCCTCTAACGTTGTTATTTCGGAGGTCCCCTATTTCTGAGCCTTCCCTTGGTTTCCATGCAAGCCCGGTTCTGCAGTTCCATCCTGGGGTTATTTCCCTGCCCATGGTTCACGTGTGGACCATGTTAAGGCTGCTGGTGCTGGTGCTGTGGGCAGCAGGGCTGGGGCCTGGCTTCAAATCAGTTTTTCCCTTGTCTGGGACAGTGGAGGAGCGGTAGCTGCTGCCATCTAATGGCTCTGACAATTAGTATTCGGGGTGGGGAGAGCCGGCACACTGTGCTGCTCCACCGGCTTGGTAGCGATCAGCTAATGAGCTCTGATGGGGCTAGGGGGGTACACTGAGCCCGAAAAGCAGCCCAAGGTCCCCTGAGGTGACACTGGTCACAATGGGGAAGGCAGAGGCTGGACGCTGCCATTTCAAAGCCTATGAGAATATCTTCAGAGGTGATGCTTTCACTCTACAACTACCTGGAAGGAGGTTGTAGCAAGGTGAAGGTCAGTATCTTCTCTCAAGTAAGTGATAGGACAAGAAGAAATAGCCTCAAGCTGCACCAGGGGAGGTTTAGATTGGATATTAGGAACAATTTCTTCCCCAAAAGGGTTGTTGGGTATTGGAACAGGCAGCGCAGGGCAGTGATGGGATATCCATCCCTGGAAGTGTTCACGAACTGTGTAGACGAGGCCCTTAGTAACATGGTTTAGTGGTGAACCTGGCAGCCTGGCAGCAGGTCCCAGACCAGTCTGCAGTCTGCAGGAAACCAGCTCTGGTTCACTTCTCATGGGCATGCAGCCCTGACACAATGGCTTTCCAAGCACCTTCCCAAAGAGAGGCATAGTTTCACCTTTTTTCAGTTGTTTGTACAGGAACAGCAACAGCCTCTGGCTTAGCAGCATCACCCTAACACAGGGAACACATCAGAGAGACCCTTTTCTGCCATCCCAGCATAGCCTTATAGCTGGACTACCTGGGGCTAGGTCCAGAGAGATGGGCAAGGCAGGAGGACTCCCAGTCAGATCTTGCCTGAGCTCAGCACCCCAGTGTGGGCTGCAGGTATTCATCCAGCCCTCAGGTCCTGCCTGGCCATGCTCAGGGAGGTCTCAGTGCCCTTTAGAGGCTGTCAGCAGTCTACAAGCTACCTGCATCAATTCTCCTGCATTATTGATAGGGTTAAGGCCATTTCATGTTCTGGCCAGTGCTGGGCAGAGATACTTCCAGTCTGGGGGAAGAGCGGGGATGAGAGGCCAAGGGGACAAGCCATGACTGGATGGGGCAGCAGGAAGGGAGGAGCTGGGGGACCTCTTTGCAGCAGCTCTTCCATCAGTCAGGAGAGATCAGATGGCCAAAAGACACTTCCACCACCTGGGGACCCTGTTCTGCTGTGAAGATGGGGTGGATCTGACTGCAGGCTGTGAGTGCATCCTGGTGGGGCTGATTCCTGGGGTAAGTGCATGGTGTGGGCCCATGGGACAAGCTGGGAACTTCAGGGGCTCATGACACATCTCTATGTCCCCTTGTGCCCTTTGCCAGGGTGCAGGTGTCCTTGTGAAGGATAGAGTTGCTGCAGGGCTGAGGGCCTGGCACCCCTCATCCCTGCAACCTTGTCGTGGAGCAGGCACAAGAGAACTGACAGGAGTCAGAGGGAGCTGGGAGGAGTATCCTGAGGGTGCATAGAGGTTTCACGAGCTGTTAGCTCAGATCTGGCAGAGGACGCGAGGTCCAGGTTACCTCCACAACCTTGGGAGAAGCTGTTCTAGAGGCAGAAAGAGATTTTCCCTGATAGTCCTGTGCCTAAAAACTGCTATGATGTGTGATGCTGTGGCTGTTTCACCTGCAGCCGTTGCCAAAGCAGCAGTGGTGCTGGAAGGTACCACAGCTCTGCCTGCTCCTGGGTAAGGATGCCCAAGCATGGCAGTGTGCTGGAGCAGTGACTGCGGTGGGCAGGGTGGCCGAGGAAGGGATGCAATAACCAAAAGAGCTCCAAAAGGCCTTGAGATAGAGCACTGTGACGCTGTACGCTCACGACTGCTATTCCTGTTGCTCTTCTACACCTCATCATTGAGCTCTCTATATAGTGAAACTGGTGCCTCTAAGGCACCTGCATGTGGAGTATTACAGTGGGGCTTTCCCTGACGCCTCAAACCTTCCTGCAAGGTGAACTGGAAAAATCCCAAGGTGTTTGCACAGGGCTGAAATAAAGGATGCTTCCAGCAACACAGTGCCAGGCAGGAGCTGCAGCGATCTTCAGATCCTGGAGCTCAGCTGGCTTGCTCTGGTCCTTCCTTCTTCCTTCCCATGCCTTATCTGTGGCCGGCACTTCCCTGGCTGTGTCTCCAGGCAGTCTGGAGGCTCCCCTGGGTGGTGACGCCGCACTCTTCCTTTGAAGCACTGGTCGTGTTCGGGGGTCAAGTAGGATGCTTTGGGTTCACACCCCAGTGCCAGGGAGGACACCTTGGATCAGCACCCTGGGCTGCTCGCTGCATGGCTTCCCAGTGCTCTGTGTGCCAAAGGGTGGTCCCAGCCTCTGGACCCACCCAGGCACTGCTGACACACAGGGTCCATGTTCCAGCAGCACTTACTTCCTCTGCCCCTGGCTGAAAACAATGCAAGAGGCGCAGGTCTCAGCATTACTGAAAAGCACTGAGTTCAGCTTAGTTCAGCCCCAGAGCCTGCTTAACCCTGTAGCTGCGGGATGGAGCAAATATCCTGATGCAGGCAGCAGCTATGGATTGCCGTGTGCTGCACAGAATGGAGAAAGGTAAGAAGGGTCTTGACAGTGGAAGGGAAATCTTGAGTGAGTGCCATCGATGAAAAGACGTGTCTCAAAGCCAGGCCTGTCTGCCTGCATTTCAGTGACTTGCCATGCTGGTTTTGCTGCAAAACCATTGCACTTCCCGTGTCCTGACACCCTGCTTCCCGAGCTGCCGGCACACCAGGAAAGATGCTATCTTGATGCCACCCCGTCTGGGGCATGCGAGGGTATGAGTGAAGGTACATGGGGGCAGGTCCTTCTCTGCCGTTCTCCTGTCCCCCTACCCAAGCAGGCAGCCTGAAGGGCCCGGGATTGCAGGGGCATGGCACAGGCAGGTGCTTAAGACCCATTTGCAGAGGGTGAAAGCAAAAGCAGAGAGTGCAAGAATGAGGAAATGCCCCTGCTGGCCCTGCTTGCTTCGGGCAGTGTCCCCGGCTGCAGTGAGTGCCTGGGCTGGGTGGGCAAAAGAGGAGGAGGGAAGGAAAGCACTGCTCCACCCAACACCAAAACATGCCCCCACCCACCTTGGAGAATCAAACATGGAGTTTGTTTGACCTGGAAAATAAACATTTCGTCTTGTTTGTTTGCTTTCTTTCCTTGACCGAGGGCAGGTTTAGGCTGACTTCCTTTTTCACGTTCATTTTTAAATAACAAAGTGAGAAGCAAGGAGCTTCGTTTTGAACGTGCCAAGGAATGGTGAACTGCTGAGGGCTTCCAAAAGGAAACATGGGTATTAGAAAAGCTTGATATTAACTCATTGTTTTCAAAAGGAAAACAAGATAAGCCATGTTTTTCTCTCTGCTAGCCCTGTTTGTGGAGTTGAGGCGGGTGCATAAATACTGCTGGGTCCACAGATCTCTTGTTCTGTGTGCGTGTATTTGCATTTTGCCAGAGAAGGGGGTTTCAGAGCTGAGCGCCTCTGCCACCTCACCGGGGTGCAGGTAAAGCCTCTCCCTGGGGTTTGCTGTATCAGAGGCAGCCGGTGCACAGCAAGGATCAAAGGTCCCAATCCCCAAGGATGCAGCGCTGGAGCTGGGAGCAGGCGACAGGTCAGTATGGGAGAAGCTGCTCACGCACAGCAGCGCTTGCAACGGCAGGGAGCCGTGGTCAGCGTGGTCACGCTCAGGCTGAGCAGAGCCCTAACCATGGTCACCCTCTCCAGCCCTTGTTTGCTGCGGGGCCGGGATGAAGGTGTCTCCAGGGCGTTCGTGCTTCCCCCCGGGGGCTGGCAGCCTGTTTATAGCATACCTCTGGGTAACTCATTGACCTCTGCTGGGAAGCGGAGGTTCCCAAGATGATAAGGCACTCTTGGAAGAAATTCCTTTCCTCACAAGGGAGTGGCGGCGCTGGGCACGCTCGCCCGCCTTGCGAACACGTACACAGCCCCGCGCCGCGTCCCGGCACCGGCAGCGGTCCCCCGGGGACCCGGCTCTCAGAGCCTGGAGCTTCGTGGCCAAGAGTGCTCTGGAGGAAAGCGGTGCTGGGGAGCAGAGCGGAGGAGCAGGTCAGTACAGCCTCGCACCGCTCTGCCCTTGCAGCCGCTGTGGGCTGGGTGCCGGTCTCATGCCTGCGCCCTTCGTCCCCAGCTGAGCAGACACAGCCGGGGAGCAGGGGCTGGAGGTGGCTGGAGCAGTGCAGAGCAGGGACACGGCTGCGTGAATACAGGTTGGGGGAGAAAGGCTGCGGTTTTGGTCCCGGCTGAATTTGAGGCTCAGGTGGTGATGGGCACACTGAGAAAGGATAGGTTTGGTTTGGGTCCTTTGTATCCAGGAACTGACCGGAGAAGGGCAGGAGAAATCACAGCAGACACTGAATTTAGCAAAGTGGATTTGGGACCAGGAAATGTGCTGCTGTGTGACAGCCCTGGAGACCAACAGTGCCTACAGCTCTGTTGCACAGACAATGGTGCCCTGACAGTCACCCTGCCTCCTTTTTTGTGCCCTGGGGAGGGAAGAGGGAGGCTCTGGTGCTCTGCCTGCAGAAGGGGCTGGTATGGCTGCACCATGTTCACAAAGGGAGCAAAGACCCTGGAGAGTCAGCACACGCAGGGACCCCTGGGAAATTGCTTCTCTACTTACTAGGACCAGGCTTTCCTAGGGAAGCCAGGATGAGGGCTTCAGCAGAGGAGATCCATGGGGGGTAAGCAGAGGGGTAGGGAGTGGAACGGGAAGTTTTTGAGTTGCTGGCCAAAAGGAAAATTCCATTTCAGATCAAACAGAAGCCTGATACCTTTGCTTGTAGGGGGGGTGGGTTTGGTCGCTGGGTTACGTAGGTAAACTTAAAAGCAAAAAGAGATTCAAAACCACAACGAAAGCCATCCTTGTTTAGGAAATGAAACATAACATTCACTTGATCTAAAAGAAATAGGATTGTCCACTGGGTAGAAGAATTTGATGCTAATTGCTGAGCTATCGCTAAAACCAACAGCATTCTGAGTGAAGCAAAAAGCTTTGTCTGAAAACACCAACCCCACTGACAACACAGGCCCAAAACAGCAACATCTTTCATGTAAAGATGTGCCAGATTCTATCACAGAGCCCTCCTGTTCCTGCACCTTCAGAGCATCCCTAGGTCGACTGCGGGAGTTTTCTAAATTCGGAGCATTCCAGGGCCAACGTGCAACAGGAACAGACAGGGTCCTTGCCACAGGGAGGACAGTGCCGGCCTCTCTCAGCACTCACCTTTCTGCAGCTCCCTGTGGAGGCACAGCTTTGCACAGGACACATCAGCTTGACTAGCACACCAGGACAGAGCCACAGGGCTTTGTACCCTGATGTCAGGTGAGCTGCAGTGAGGAGGATGAGGGGGATGCTCCCTTCTCCAGCCAACCCCAACATTTTGACATGTTTTTTCCTGGCGATGACGAGAAACCCCCATGCTTTCAGGCTGCTCATGGGCAGGCAGGCTTTTATTAGAGACTTCCCAGTCAGCTCCATGAGCACAGACTCCATCCTGCCACAGCCCGTACCACAGCTAGCTACTCCTTGTGCTTTGCTTTAGGGGTGTTGCAGCGGTGCCAGGCAGCCCCCGTCATGGCACAGGAATCTGTCTGGTGAAAAACTGCTCACTGGGGTAATTACTCGCTACTCTGGAGAAGCTCAAGGCCTTGTCGTGCATTGGGACGCATGGCTGAGAGGAGCCAGCAATGCTCCTGGAGCACTCCACAGCAAGCAAGTCACTGCTGTGGTGGCACCGGCATTGGCTGGTTGTTGGTTGCTGAAGACCTCCCTGTCTGTGACTTCTGTCCCTAGACCTTTTGGTTTTTATTTTGCAGGGGCTGTGTTGCTCTGCCCAAGGATCCTCTGCAGACACCGGTCACCCATAGCACAGTGAGAGCACACAGCCGGTCCTGAGTCCTGGTCCTGCATGCTGGGGAAGGTCAGAGCTTGTGAGCAAAGAGGGAATGAGTTCATCCTGTGCAGCCCAAAGGATTCCAAACAGCAACCAGATCAGTCCCTCCTGGTGTTCACACCTGGGGTTCAGACAGTTCTGATCCCAGAGATGAGATGAGCCCCGCTAGCCCTGCAGGAATCCACAGTGTCTGTGCTTGCAGAGAACTCACCTGTGGCTTGCCTGGCCATAGCCCTGCTCTGCTGAGGCTGGTGTGGAGCAGGCAGTGCTGTCAGCCACCCTCGCTGTGAAACAGGGAGAGCAGCAGCTCGGCCGGGAGGAAGGTGGTCCAGAAACGGCCAGCCCTGGATGGAGGATGCTGGACGAGCCCCAGCGGGGCAGCTCTGCAGGTAAGGCGGGTGCTTGCAGTGTGATCAGGATCACGGCTGCCTTAGGAGGTGGGGGAGATCAGTGCTGACGCTCTCCAGAGAGCCCAGCAGGAAGCTGGGGCAGACCATTGGGCTTCCCATGCCTTGGCTGTCAGGAGGAATGACAGGAATGTGCCACGTGGGCTGGGTGACACGCTCCCAGGAGCCCAGGGTAATGGCAATGGTGGGGCCAGCACAGGGTAGCAACGCCAGTCGGTGGGATGAGACCCCCTCCCAGAGTACAGCATCCGGCTCCGGCCCCCAGCACAAGAAAGGCATGGACCTGTCAGAGGGGATCCAGAAGAGGGCCATGAAAATGATTGGAGGGCTGGAACCCCTCTCCTAGGAAGAAAAGCTGAGAAGAGAATGATCCAGGGACACCTTACTGCAACCTTTCAATACCTAAAGGGGGCTTATAAGAAGGGTGGAGAGAGGCTTTTTACTAGGGCCTATAGTGACAGGACAAGGGGAAATGGTCTTAAACTGAAAGAGGGGAGATTTAAATCAGATTTAAGGAGGAAATTCTTCCCTGTGAGGGTGGTGAGGCCTTGGCACAGGGTGCCCAGAGAAGCTGTGGCTGCCCCATCCCTGGCAGTGTTCAAGGCCAGGTTGGACACAGGAGCTTGAAGCAACCTGGTCTGGTGGAAAGTGTCCCTGCCCATGGCAGGGGGCTTGGAACAAAGTCTTTAAGTGGAAATGGTGGAGTCATCATCCCTGGAGGCATTTAAAAGATGTGTGCATGTGGCACTGAGGGACATGGACATGGTTTAGCGGTTAGCGTATTGGCAGTGCTGGGTTAATGGTTGGACTCGATCTTAAGGGGCTTTTCCAACCTAAATGATGCTATGATGCTGTGGTTCTAACCCAAGCCATTCTGTGCTCTGTGCCCATCGCCCCCGCCTCGCGGACAGACGGTGCCGCTCAAAAGGCACATTGTGCATTGTGTCTGTGGCCAGGGCTGAGCCACGGTGCCCAGCAGTACACTCCCCCCCTGCCAGCGCTCTGCCAGCCCCCAGCTTGGGGCTCGGGTATTGCTGGACACATGGGCTGCTGCCTTGAGATCCCCTGGCACCAGGACCTGTCCCTGGGATGCACAGGTAAGCTGTCCCTGAGGATGCCATGGCAGGACTGCGGGACCTGTGGCTGCAAAGCTCACACCACTGATGGGGCCACTGGGGAGCTGAGCACTGGCTCCCTTTTGCTGCTTGCCTGCCTTTCCCGAGATGGCCACTGGTGTCCCCTCCTCTTGCTGGGCACTTGTGTCACTAGATCTGGGGGTGTGGGGAACGAGGCAGGTCACTTTGGCCAGGGACGGGAGAGGACGACTAAGGGAGAGGGGTGGTTTATTCCCATGGTGTTGGCTTTTCAGAAGCCCCCTTGCCACCCGTGTCCTGCTGCCACTGCTGCCCAGGAGCACCCAACACCGCAAAGCTTGCAGAGCCCGTGGGGTGCTGCCAGCCCCAGAGGAGTAATTCCCATGCTGAATGCCCAAATGATCTAACAGGGCTGTGCTAATGGGCTGCAGGAGGGAGGTGGCTCAGGGCCAGCGGCTGTAGCCATGTGTCCCCAGGAGAGCCGATGCCAGTGGGTGCCACAAGCACCACAGCTCTGAGTGCTGGGACCTGGCCCTGGCTCTGGGCTGGGGCTGTTTCCTGCCCCCCGTTACAAAACATTTCAGCACCGGGGACGTAAATGAGTCACTGGCACGACTGGGGATAACTTCTCGCCAGCAGCTGCAGTTGGTCTCTTGAAACAGCTCCCAGTTCCCTTTCTGAGCCTGGCCCAAACAGAAATAAACATCAAATCGGTGCGTGCCGCTGGAGGAAACCCATTCCTCCTCTCACCCAAGCGAGCCCTGGTCCCTGCCTGGCTCTGTGGAGACCCACCAGCATGCTTTGTCATGCCACAGGCAGCAGTGTCTGTCCTGCCTCCTCCTTTGACACAACCTGTGGAGACCTCTTGGGCAGGGAGCATCCTGCCAGGGATCCGAATGCTTCTCCCCACCTCCTGTCTTTCCCAGAGGAAGAGTGTGATTCCTGCTGTCCCCACTCGCCCGTGCTCCTGCCCCACTGGGACCGCCTGCAGCACAAGGGAAAATGGTGGCGGGACAAGACCATGGCATCAGGTACCTGTCCTTGGGGAAGGGGGACCCAGCTCCTGCCCATCAGGGTCTGCCGGGAGGCAGGGTGGTGAGAGAGGGATGGAGCAGCCCCATCCAGCCCAGCTCTAGGAGCCAGCTCACATTTAGCTCTGCCTCCGGCTCATTTTGCTTCCACATCTCTGTTTCCCCTATGTGTAGAAGGGATGTGAGTTGCTGGATGAAGTCCTTTGTTAAGTGTGTTCAGATCAGCTGTTGAGAAATGTAGAGCCTTTTCTTTCAAAGAAAAGCTCATTCATTACAGGTCCAGCCTTGGGCCATTCTTTTCTACTGCTAACTATAAACAAGGATTATAATTCTGTGTGCAAATAACAGTTTATTTGACTGATTTGCAAAGCTGGCTCATTAAAAACAATGGTAGAGTGTAGTTATGGTCACAAAAGTGACTTACGAAAGCCGCTGCATGTTCCAGCTCCAGATCTCCAGGTATGTGTTTGTCTTACAAGTCCAATCTGATTACTGACAGAAATTGGTTTTTAGTCTTGTTACCCCTCCACAGCCAATACAGCTGTGGAAGAGCAAGCTGGATTTTTATGTGCCTCAGCCTTCATTAGCACAATTAACCAGCTGAGCTTTCAGTTCCTGAATCCTTTATGGCAATAGCTGACGGTGTGTGAAGCACAGAGAATGCAGCTTGGGTTTCAGACATTGACCAGAGTAGGCAGGGAGCAAAATCTCATTTTGACTGTCAAATTGATGAGCAAACTCTCCTGCACTGGGGAAGTTCCCTTACTCTGAGGCCTCCTCCAAAATACTCTGTGTCAGGGGTGACCCATTCTGCCAGATCTGCTCAGTGAGGGTCTGTCCCAAGAGCAAGTAAGGAAGGTCCCCTCACTTCAAAGCTACTCCAGCACTGGAAGTAAGTCAGTCTCAAGTGTATCATGTAGTTAGGAGACACCAGTCCCATGGATCTTGACTCCAACCTTGAGCGTGAGTTTAGGTGATACGAGACTCAGACAACCCCCAGCCAGATCTGCACTGCAACCCACGGGCTTTGCTTTCAGGTGGTGTGGTTAGGCAGATGTCCTGGGTTCAGAGTTACCAGCTGGGCTTCAACCACGACAGCAGAATATCCTAGACCTCTGCCACAAAATTTGACAGCAGCTCTTCTGTGTGTGCCCCCCTTGCTAGGTAAGACTGAGGCATCAGATCCAAGCAACCCCACTACTGAGGCAGCAGAAGGTTCTCCAGACACCCCCTTGGTGCTGCTGGCTGTCAGGGAGGGCTTTCCACAAGGTAAGATGCTGCATTTGGCATCGCCCGTATTTCTGTGGTTGAATGCAGCAAGGCCTGGCACTGCAGTTAACAGACCCCCTGTCATCCCTTGCGTTCCTCAGCTTTGCTGCTGAAGGGGGTTGAGGGGTCGGGTTTGTGTTGTTTGAGCATCACAACCAGGCTGGAGGCACTGGCGGGGCTGGCTGCAGGGAGGCAGCTCTGTGTGCATGGAGCTCCTTCTCCCCCTTATCCCTGCACATTTCCTTTTCAAGAGATTTCGCTCTTCTTCTCCGTTGAGAGCCGCTCCTCCCGGTGCCTCAATTCCCAGCTCCAGGAAGCAGCCAGAAAGAAGCTGTGGGCCCTAGAGAGTGACGACAGAGATGTCTGTGCCCTGTTCAAGGTAAGCGTCCCAGCCTGGCAGGGCAGAGTGTATACTGGGAGGGTCCTGGTGTGATGGGATGCGTGATGGTGGGATACCAAACCCAGCCGAGAGAGAAAGTTCCTCCAAGGCTGCTGCAGGGTATGTTCTGCACATGGGGACTCTGTAAGGGAGTGGAATGATGGGGGAAATGAACTCATAACAGGTGAGAGGCAGATGCAAAGCTGAGCCTCATGTCAGGAGCCTCATATTGGAGGCTCTGAGCTGCCTGGAGCTGTTGACTGCAGCACCACCCCTTAACCCCAGGCAAATAAATCACATAGCTTTGGTCTCAACTACGGTAATAAATGAGGGCTTAGTCTCATTCCAGGGAGTATTATTATTTCCACACTGAGAAAGGAGACCCCCTGACAGAGTCCCAGGACTGTCCCTTAATCTTCATTTGTCTTCCATCTTCAGGAGCTGTCAGCCCGGCTGGTCTGCATGCAGGCACAGGAGGATCGGTTCATCCTCACCTTCAAAACCCTGGAAGAAGTCTGGAAGTTTTCCACGTATCTGACTTTAGGTAGTGTTTCCAAGGTGTGGGAGATCTAAACAGACAGTGTGAGAAGGAGTTTTAGAGAAGATAGTCTGTCACAAAACCAGTAATGTAACAGGGTGGACAGATGAAGAATATTAATTAGAAAGCCTTGGTGTCCATCTACAGATTTATGAAACCACTGTCTGCATCAGTGAACAAGACCCAGGAGGATGCCTTCTGGGTAATCCCTCTATGGAATCTTGGGGATGGAGACAGAATTAGAGGCTGTTGCCTCACAGCATGGTTGCAGCTGGCAGGCTGGGAGACATCCAAAGAGCACTTCATCCTGCCCCATGGAGGAGAATGCTAACACTACTTTCCCTCTTGGTTTCATAGGGTATGTGGGCAGCTGCCTGGAACAGCTTCTCTTTGACCAGGAGTACTGGCTAAACTGTGCTCTGATGGAGGACACGGAGATCAGAGTTACTGTGGATGAAGATCGCTTGGCCACCATATATATGGGTCTGCTACTGCAGGAAGGTGAGAGGGACTGCATATGTAGGGACTTCCTCAAAAGCATCTCCTCTGGGCTGTGTTGTAGCCCTGTGCTGGGCTGTCTTGCACTCATGCTGTTGACCTGGGCATGACTCTTTCTATCTGCAGGTAACTTTTTTTCCAGAGCAGTTCCTGGTGCTCCGGAGCAGCCGGAGCAGGAGGGAGAGGAAGCCCTGCAGCTCTGCAAGAACGAGCTGATCCACGTGAAGAATGTTGGAGAGGAGTCCAAGTGGGAAGGGACGTCCTTACTGACGGGTCAGAGAGGCCTGGTGCCTGTGACAGCTCTAGAGCCAATACCTCACCCATTTTACCAGTAAGTAGACTGGACAATTAACAGAGCTCAAGCCAAGATTCTTCCCTGATCCTCATGCATGAGCTGGCACCAAGCCTGGAATGAGAAGTTGCTCTTGCCTCCAGCAGTGGTCAAGAGCTGCACAGTTCTGTGAGGATATACATTGTGCATAAAGACAACCGCTGGAACCAATTCAGGTCCTGTTAAAGGGACGGTGCAAGTTCATACTTGATACCATTCTTGTATGATATTGATTTAGGTCATAAGATTATTTAGATTTATGTGTAAATAACTGGGAGAAAAAGCATAACCCAAGACTTATCCAGTCAAAGTGTGGCTTCATGTTGGACACATGGATGAGCCTCAAAGGCACCCTCAGCTGCTCTTATCCTGCTCTTACCATGGGGTGTAAGGCTGCAGTTGTGAGATGCAAACAGCCTCCCATGCCCAGTAACACCATTACAAGGAATTACTAGACTGGCCATGCTCCATAGCAGCTCTGGCACTCCCAGGGGACAGAACGTCTGTCCTGCTTGCATGAAACCATCTCTGGTGCTGGCCTGAGGGCAGGGCTGCTCGGAGAGAAGCAGTGTGGTTCCCTTTTGCTTTGCAGGTGGTTCCTGAGGAACTATGCTGTGAGTTTTGGCATCTCCCAGGAGATCAGTGGGACAAGCACTGAGCCAATTGGTGAGTGACACCTGTGTAACACAGCTGCCCTTCCCAGGGAAGGGTACAGCTCTTGCAAACCTGGGTTTGGCCACAAATGCAAAGGACCCATCTCCTGATCTGATGACACTCCATTGCAAGATGCTTTAAGGGAAAACAGCATCTTTGGCCTCTCTTGAATGGAGACCAGAGCTTGCAAATTGCATGTACTTAGAAGGAAGATCTGAGCAGTACAGAGTACAAAGGGCTGCTGGTGGTATCCTCCTGCCAATGGGTTTTCTGTTCTACTGTAATTTTGCCGCTAATTCTTTCAGAACTGAAGTTTTATGTAATTAGTCTCCCACCAATGTGCATATGAAATCTGTGCCCATCATTCTCCAGGCCATTCCTGCCCACACATGGGCATTGTTCAGTGCATGCTGGACTTGAGAAGTCACTGCAGGTGTGAATTTGGCATGTAGTGTGATGGACATTTGTACTGTCAAAGATTTCGCTCCTGGCAGAGAGCTGAGACAGTTCAGCTTCTATGAAGCTTCTTGTTTCCAGACACCTTCCATACTGCAGCTCTCAGAGGTTTCAGTATTTGGCTATGTGGCTTTTGTCTGTGGCTTTTGTGTATTTTATTAAAATCCTCTTCTCAAGAAGAGATGTGACCCTGAGAGCACAATAAATCTTAGGGGACAGGGAGGTAGCCTTCTCAAGCTGCAATCAGTGTCTCCTTGCCCAAGCCTTCTCCAGCGAGGAGGTTTTGACAGTGGCCTTACACTGAAATGCCCTTTTTTGCCTTGGTTTCCCAGTCAAAGGCAGGTGCACAGCCACAAAGGACCACAGAGGAGCAGCATGGGATGAACTGAGTTTCTCCAAAGGAGACAGCATAGAAGTCATTGGCTTCTTCATTCCAGGACTCCCGTGGTTTGTGGGCAAATCCCTCAGCAGTGGGAGCATTGGATTTGTCCCAACTCAATACATAAGTCCCAAGGCTTGTGAACCTCTGTAAGTTTACTGCTACCATGTCAATTAAATTAAACTCAGGAGAAAATGAAGGGAAGACTTCAAGTCCCAACTCAAGGCTATGCGAGAGTCCAGGGCAGGTGATTTGCTTTGCAAGACCTTCACAGAGGATTCATTTGAGGTCTGTCCGGAAGCCTCGGCAAGGCTCTGCTGCCAACAGGCTGCAGGAGGCTCTGCTCAGACAAAGCAACCATATTTCACTTCTCTCAGGTGATTCTTGGAGAGGAACAGATCTGGCCCTGGGCTAAGCCTGGCTTCATGCTAAGGAAGCCCAGGACATCTGTGTACCAGACAAACTGGCTTCACAGTTCCACCTAGAAATGTTCTTGACTTCGTGGCTTTGTCTGAGGAGCTCTGAGTGTGACAAGGGTGGGGGGAGCGATCACTGCCAAAAAAACAAGTCCTGCTTTGCTTCCTTCTGCCCCTTTGCTTTCTGTGGGAGGTGGAGGCAAACAACCGCTGGCACAGTTCCTCACTGAGCAGAATTAAACACCCTCCCAGGGCACAGACAGAAGTTGTCCAGGGAGGGAGGGTGACACAACCCCATGCTGATGAGCTGGGCATTTGCCTTTATTGGTGGCTTAAAGACATAGGTTAGGTTCAGTACCCATCCAAAAAGGCTTCTCCTCCAAGAGTGTATGTGGGAGGAAGAGGTCCTAACCTGTTGCCAGGTCTGCTGGGTTTCCTGGGTCATGCTCACTCAGGGTAAGTCTTTGGCACTTTTCTCTCATTCTACAGAGAACAGAGAGCTCAGATGATGCTCTGATCTAGAAAGGGCTTCTGGAGAGGAAAAAGACCAATATGTTACTCCCTCTAATACCCATAGGTTCCTCCATAAGAACATGGATCTGGGAGCCTTGATGAGGAAGGTGTCCAGACTGTATTCATCAGCAGCAGAGCTTTTCTGGTGGGAGGAAGAGGAGGAGTGGGAAAGCCCAGCCCAGCCTACGGGGTAGCTGTAGTGTCAGGGGATGGGCAGGCACTGACTGTTTTCTCATGATGTCTGCCTCAACCTAGGGGAAAAGGCTTGGTGTTTCTGAACGAGGAAGAAAAGTCCCCGCTCCTGCGCATCCCCTGCAATGGTGGTGAGCAGCACTTCACCACCCTCCTCAGTGACCTGGCACGCACGGACATCACCTCTGTGTACCGGCTGGGTGAGTCTCCCCTCTCCTTACATATCCAGCCATATGGCTGCCCATGGGGAGCAGTGCTGGGCAGTGCCTAGAAAGCTCCTTGCTTTTTGTTTCCTGTTTGTCTCTTTGTGTAGATGGTTTTGAACCTACAGCCATGTTCCCGAAAGTGCCTTCAGGTGAGTACGTGGAAGGGACATAATGGAATGCTTTTCTGATGATTCTGAGGGTGAATTTTGACATGGGGAAACATCTCACTATGATGTCTGTCCCTTCCAGAGGCTGTTCTCCGTGGCTGTAAAGATATCCAACTGCTCCAGTCCTGGGAGGAAATAAATGAGTTGGCTACCAATAGCACCTCTGAGCTGTCTAGCCCAGGGAGTGAATCAGCCCCTCATACACTAGAAGATGTTCTCCTGGAGAAGCTGGATGACTTTGATGATCCCAAGTTCTTCATTGACTTGAATGCTGGACACATGGAAGACGCTGATGTATTTGACCCCATATTGACCTTCCTTAACCAAGACAGTTACGTGCCCAGTTTTCAAAGCCTCTATGATCTCAGTTTTTCCTTTCTCAACTCCACTTTTTATGGTTTCTCTGATGAGGATGAACTGATCTTGTACCTTGAGGCATCCAGGAACTGGGCCAAGAGAACTCATTCAGTTTGGGCCCATGTCAGGCTCTGTTTCCTCTTGGGTAAGCTTTGCATCAAAAAGGTCAAGTTCTCCCAGGCTCGAGTCTACTTTGAGGAAGCCATGAGCATCCTGGACAGGGGTTTTGGGGACCTGCCCCTATTGGCTGCATTGCATGTGAACCTTGCCTCCATCTACTTGAAGCAGAACATGAAGCACAAGTTCTCCTCCCTGCTGGGAAAAATGGTGGCCTTGCTTGTCTGCCTGCCTGGCCGCTCTTTCAGCTCTGAGAACGAGCTGGAGGTTATGATGTATGTCCTGAGGGAAGCCATTGCTGTGGGTAATGCTCCCTTAGAGGCAAGGGTCTGCTTCCTTATTGTCAAGCTCTTCCTACAACTGGGCAAAAATGATGAAGTGCTGCCCTTTACCGAGCATCTTCAGTGTCTCACCACCACTTTAGTCAGCCCAGACACTAGTTCTATGCCACTGGATGCCACCCCCATCTTGAGCTACCTGTATGACAAGAAGTATTTGCCAAATATCGCACTGGCCTCTGCCAGGCTGTTTGTTCCCACTGGCATCAAGGGGACACCGACACCCACTTGGAGAGCTGGCTTTATCCTCCAAAATACTTCCAAACTCCTGGGAAGCCAGCTGGAGAGGAGCAGCATCCCATCACTGGCCTGTTTCTATCTCAAGCAAGCACTGCATTTCTGTGGTGAGACCAGAGCGGTGCCCATCCAGAGGACGCTGTGTACCATCTTGTCCAGGATGTACCTCCAGCATGGTGTGTTGGATGGGGCGGTTTGCTACGCAGCCATGGCTGTAACCCTCAGTAGACTGATGGGAGAGGAGGAGGCTTTTGAGTCTTCCCTGTCATTGGGGTGGATGTATCTCCTGCACAGCCAGCCGGGACCCGCCGCAGACATCATGTGGCAGCTCTTGCACTCTCTGCATGGGACAGACAGCGTGACTCAGGGTGGAGCGGTGCACAATCTGCTGGCCATTGCCCTCAAAGGAGAAGGGCAGGTACAAAAGGCTGCAGAGAACTACCTGCGGGCCCTGCAGAAAGCCAAGGAGACCGGGAACAAGAGGAACCAGGCTATCGCCCTGGCCAACCTCGGGCAGCTGAGCCTTTCGCATGGGGCGAACCAGCTCTCTGAGCTCTACCTGCTCCAGTCGGCTCAGCTCTACGCTGAGCTCCAGGGCAACCAAGACCTGGAGATGGAGTTTGTGCGTGTGCTGCTGTGGCTAGCACTGGCCATGGTGAACAGGCAGAGGATGGAGGATGGCAAACTCTGTTATGAACTGGCGTTGGTTTTTGCCCTGAAGTGGCATAACGTGAGGAGTGAGTACAGCCATCCTGGCGGGAGCCAAGGCAGCATTCAGCTCTGTGTGCAGCACCCTAACACAGTCCCCTGACCTGTCCTTTTCCCTTCCCTGTACCATGCAGGTCAGCTTCACATCACTGAGTCTCTCTGCCATTTCTACAGCAAAGTGTCCCCCAGTCTCCAGGCCTGCATCACCTACCATGAGCACTGGGTATCTTTGGCACAGCAGTTGCAGGACAGGGAGCTGGAAGGCAATGTCCGGCAGACCCTCAGCCAGCTTTACCAGGCTTTGGGCACACCTGAGTAAGTCCTGTCTGTGGCTGCTAGATGATGCTAGAGTGGGGTCCGTGCTCACCCAAAGCAGGAGCAGTGGCTGTTAGGTGTGACAGAACTGGGTTCTGGCCAAACACAGTTTTCCAGAGAGACATCCAGCCTTGATCAGAGGGGACCCAGCAACAGGGAATTCATCACTTCCTTTGGAGGCTTTTTCCAGTGATTAACCACCATTCACCAGTAAAAATAGGTTCCTTATCTGTTATTTGAATAAGTCTGGCTTCAGCCTCCAGCTGCTGAGTCTGTCTTTCCTATCTCTGCTGAAATATTTTCCCCAGGGAGGTATTTAAGACTCCATATCAATTCACCTTTCAATCTCCTGCTTGACACATGCAGGTGACTGATTAGATTAGGTGGGAGGGGAGAGAAGGAGGCTTGGACAGACCACAGACTTTCTTCAGTCTTTGAAGGCAAATGTGTCAAGTAGTGGAGCTAGCTCCCATGTTCCAGAAGGACAAATGAGCAGGGGCTGTCATTAACTTGGATGTTAACCTTGCCTTGCTAGGTCACAGTGAGTTCAGAGGGAAGGTATTTAGGAAGCAGACACCTGTCATGTGAATGATGCTATTTAAGATCACAAAGCTCCCCATTCCCTGAGCTCCAAGGACAGCTGGAGCCCAGTTGCCAACAGGCAAGACACCAGGCAAACAAACATGTCCTGGGTAGTGCCCAGTGCTCCCTTGGCCACAGCTGCCTTCTGCAGGCAGTGTGTCCAACCTGCTGGCCTGTCCTGCTGCTTGTCCCCTTGTGACAAGGGCTTGGAAAGGGGCTCTGAGGTCTGGCACATGTAGCCACAGATGTTCCTCTTCGGCTGCACCGAGGGGCAGACGCTAGACAGGGATGTGGGTTTGGGTGCCAGATAATGTATGGAAAACTTAGGTGCAAGCGTTCCCTGTCTTATAGCTGGGAGTGACTTTGAGGCTTAGCGCAGGGGACAAATAGGGTTTGCAGATGACGTGGGCAAAACCCTCTATATCAGATTAAACAAGCAGAGGTGGGGAGCAGCGCCTTTGGGAGCTACTTTGGGGCTGTGCTGAGCACTGGGATCCTGGGCTGGTCTGAGGTTGCCAGGTGATAATGCACACATGCACTAAAGCATGGAGACTGGCACAGTTTTACCTTGCTCAGAGCTGTCCGTTTGTCCCTAACCTTTGGCAGCTGCAGGAGAAGGCAGGATTGCCAATTTAGAGGTGGTGTAGCTTTGCAGCTCATTGCTGGAGGTGTCCTCTGGTTTCCCTATAATGAATTTTTCCCTGTTTCCATCACAGGGCTCTGAGACAGTCCCTGGACTGCACCAAACAGAGTCTAAGGATCTTCATTGACCTTGAGGAGACTGTGAAAGCAGCAGAGGCCTGGCTGCAGGCAGGAAGGCTCTACTATCTTATGCAGGAAGATGAGCTGGTGGAAATGTACTTTCAGGTATGGAGGAGGTGGCTGAAGCAGTCCTATACCCATCCTGTCTAGCTGCATTCCCATCATAGCTCCTTAGTAGGAGCCTTTTGCAGGTGGAAGACCAGGAAGAGAAAGTTCTTATGAGCAGTGTAAACCTGCTGCTAGAAGGAGGAGCTGTTTCCTTACACTCATGCGCTATCTGGCACTAAATTTCCTATCTTGCCTTCATACACTGTGTTTAGAGGCTTTTTGGATGAGAGTCTGTGAGTTTATTGAGTAAGAAAGTGATGTAGGAGTGCCAAAGGAAGCTGGAAGTGCCAGGTGACCGGCTCCCATTGAAACACACATAGATAAGGGGTAAGATGCTAGGGAAGTGCTTGGAGACTTCTTGTAGTAGAAGACTACTTTCTTCTTTCCATCTCTAGCTCTACTTTATCAGCTGAGCTGCAAAATGGAATAGCAGGTCATAAAATCTTAGGGCTCCGTTCAGGGAGCAGCTTCTATTCGAAGATGGGAAACCCTTTCAAGTGCCCAGAGTCAGCAGAGCAGAAAACTGGTTGAGTCTGCTGAGGATGAACTGTGCTAGGGTATTGAGCAAAGCACCAGCCTGGACACACACAGAAGATGCTTTGGGTCCTTGCTCTGTTACCCAGCTACCTATATGTGCCTGCTGGCCTACCTGTCTCCATGCTGTTTAGAGCACTGGGGCTCATGTTTATGATGAATTGGTTTTATTTAATCACACAAATTTCTATGTGCAGGTATCTCTTTCCAAGCCTCATTCCAGTTCATTTTCCTTCCAGGCAGCCATTCAGACTGCTCTGAAAGTGGAGAACATCTCCTTGGCCATGGATCTTTATGAAAAAGCAGGTGATACCTTTTTTAATGGCAGCCGAAACAGAGAGAGAGCAGTGGAGTTTTACAGGGTACTGATCCCCCCCAAGCATTTCTGTCCTTGTGTCCCTGCAAGGTGATGGCTGTGGGGAGCTTTGCCTCTGGGCTGGCTGCAGCACTGTGCGGACAGGCTGGAGGGATGGAGAGGGCCAGGATGGTTCTGAGTGTGCCAGAGTGCAAACTGCTGCAGGGGGGAAGCCTGGAGCGCAGGCATACTTTGCAATGGCTTTAGCTCACCCAAGAGATCATCTGGGAGGTGGGAGCAGGATCCTTACATTATAAATCCTGGCAGTGTTAGGTGTGAGCTGGTTGCTCCTGGGGACGTGCTCAGGGTCAGAATATCAGGCACCTAAGGAAGGGCAGAGGTGTGAGGCTCAGGTTTTGAGAACCACGCTCTGGGATATGAAACCTATTTGCAAGGGAAAGAGGGAGCTAGGACCTGAAACTCAACCCCTCCATCATCTGCCTGCTATGTCAAGCACTTGTTCCATGTCCTGCTGCTCTATCACCCCTCTGCGGGCAGTGCTGAACCGATACCTCCAAGAACAGCCGGGACTCACTGTCTTCTCTCCTCAGGGAGGTGCTGTGCCCTTGGCCAGAAAACTAAAGGCCTCTAAGACAGAGCTGCGGCTCTTCAATAAGCTGACGGAGCTGCAGATCAGGCTGCAGGGCTACGAGAAGGCTCTGGAGTTTGCCACACTGGCAGCCAGGCTGAGCATCAGGGTCGGTAAGTGATGCACACCCACAGGGCACGGGGGCTGCTGTTCCCTGCAGATGGGGTTGTCCTTCTGCGTGGGAACATTGTGCATGTGAAAGGGGGATCTCCTGCTCTCAGGAGACTGCTGGACCTATTCTTATCCTAACTGGTAACATCTTTTTAAGGCTGCTTCCCTTTTAAGCTGCATGACAACCACATGGGAGTGCTTTGCTATGGTGCTGGGACTGCCTGAGTGCAGGGTTGTTGCTACACCGGAGCACGGGAAGTCTGGTGAAGGCACAGGACTGAACAGTTCCTCTCTGCCCTGGCTCTTCTGATAAACTCATCCTTTCCCATTACAAAAATAGTTTGAATGGGCAAAACGCCAGCATAAATGTCTGAGATGGAGCCAGTCCCATAATAGCCCCTTTGCAGCACCAAAGAAATCCCCTGGTTGAATGATTTACTCCTTGGACAATCTGTCCAGCGTTGGTATCGGCACCCCTGCCCATGGCTCTGTTTTCTCTGAACTACCTACTAATGCAGTGTCTCCTTAGGAAGATACCCATGCCTCAGGCTTTTGAGCAAATGCACCCCCAAGCAGCTCAGCATGGGATGTGTGGTGAGCTGTTGCAGGGAGACTATCAGCAACTCTTTTCCAGGAGATCAATTACAAGAGCTGGTTGCATTCCACCGCCTGGCTACAGTCTACTATTTCCTGCATATGTATGAGATGGCAGAAGATTGCTACCTAAAGACCCTTGCCTTGCGTCCCCCCTTGCTGCAGTGTTCTGGAGAGGCCCTGTACTACTGCAAGGTGTATTGCCACCTTGGCAACCTGACCCTGCACAAACTGAAGGTAGGAAACCTTTCCGTGATGCTGTGTTGAGCACTCTGGTCTTGACAGAGGTAAGAATATCACATCTGCACATGTAGGCAGCTGCATCCTGTGACTCTCCATCCTATGTGCAGCTTTAGAATGAATGCACACAATGCAGGAAAAATGATTTGGAAAGAGGCACTGGCACTTGGCTGTGGCTGTATGGAGCCCCATTTCAATGAAGTCAGGTGTCACCGTGTTCTGCCTGGAACCACTGGGCTCTACTCCAGCTCCCTTATTCCCTGTGACCCTCAATTAAACCACTTCCTAACGCCTGCCCTGTCCTTTACCATTAGGATGAACAGGATGCAGCAGCCTACTTCCTCCTGGCGCTCGCCGCTGCAACCGAGCTGGGTGACCAGGGGCTGCAGGGCCTCATCCGCACCAAGCTGGGTGACATCCCTGGTGCCCTGCAGGGACCTGAGGGCACAGCAGGCTGTGCCACGTTCCGGCCCAGGTGGCTGAGTGAAGGTGGCCACGTCGTCTGACTGACCACAACCTGGGGACTCCACTGTGACCTGTCACACAGCATCGTGCTGTGCCACTGGCATGGGTCCATGTGCTCTGCAGGACAACCAGCCCTGGAGAACATCGCATCCTAAGGAGCCGCAGTGTTTGGTCTTCTTGTCCCTGACAGACAAGGGGTGAAGTGCTTGGAACCCTGCCCTCATTTTCCAGGAGCAGGGATGTACATCAAGGCTGGGCATCGGGGCAGGATGGGGACCGGGCAGCAGTGCTGGCACCTGCAGTGCAGTGGAGATGAGCAACAGATGGCAATTGGAGTGGGGGTGCCTGCCTGGGTGGGGACAAGAAAGTGCTGCCATGTGCCAGCTGCCACACACACCTCAGGTCCCATGGGGCAGCTCAGCCCAAGCCAACTGTGTTTTAACTTGAATAGCAACTCCTTTATTTATTCTTACCTGTTCTCTGTCCCGTCTGCTCTGCAGAGGTCTGTGACCCATACCTCTGTAAAGCCACGGACCTCTTTGGTACAAAGCACCACCAAAGCCTGTGGCAGTGAGAGGCAGAATTAGGGAAAGGAGAAGTGAAAGGGGCTGTGGACAAGCCCTGAATGCAGGTGGGCAGCAGCTTGGGGGCAGGCAGAGCCCACCCTCACTTCAGCCCTGCCATTCAGCTCAGCAGTGATGTTGGAGCAGCTGTGGTGGCTCTTCTGCCCCACAGCCCATGTGTGCTTTCAGCATCTAAAGCATGAGCACACTGCGGGTCCTTCATGGCAAAAAAGCGCTGGACTGGGCTGCCCAGGGAAGTGGTGCAGTCATCACCCCTGGAGGTATTGGAAAGATGCGTAGATGTGATGCTTGGGGACATGGTTTAATGGTGGACTTAGTGCTGGGTTAACAGCTGGACTTGATGATGCTGTGTGGCACACATCCAGTCCCTGGGCAGGGGTGCTGATGGGACACAGGGGGACTTCTGTTGGGGAGAGGCAGCTGCAAAGCCTTTGCATTGGCCATTGCCAGCCCCAGGAGGAGCCAGCAGCCTACAGGCAGCAAGCAAGCTGCCTTCAAGTGCCCTGACCTACATGGCTGGAGAGAAGCACAAACTCCTCTGTGGAGCAAGCGGGAGGAGCAGGAGGCACGGAGGAGCCTTCTGAAAGCAGCAGGAGCAGCAGCAGCTCTCCTCCATAGCCCATCTCACCACCAGAGAGCAATAACTGCCCACGTTTGCAGCCTCGTGTGGGCAAGTGCTGCTTCCTGGCTAAGGCTGACTTCGGTTTTCAGTCTTGACTGGTGCAGAGTGAAGAATGAGCTGTTTTTCCAGCTCATCTCTTTGCTTTGACAACCAGTGGCCCAGCGGGGGCTTCCCAAGGAGACCCAGCTCCCAGTCCTTCCACCTCCCTGCCGCGGTCCCTTGCTTGGAAATGCTAAATGCAGAACATTCATTTCCTCACTGCTCTTTGCAAATGCTGACTTCATTTTCCCCCTCTAATCCCTGCAAGGCATCCATCACTGGGGCAATGAATAGTTTACTGCTTGTTTATCAAGCATTCCTGCAGTGCGTTTAGGGAGCTTCAGCCCTGAACACAGAGAAGGCAAATATTCATCCCATTTGGAACACAGCAAGCTCAGAGGAGAACCAGTCCCCAGAACCTTCCTGCCTCGCTGCACAGGGCTGCCTGTTCTCAGTTCAGGTGGCTGAGAAGTGCCATCCCCAGCACCTCACTTAGGGATGCTGCCCAGCCCCATGGTAGCTTGACTGCAGTACCCAGCCTGCCTGGTCCTCAGAAGTGCCCTTTAGGTACCTGTGAGGAGCGGAGGCTCAAGGCCACCACTGCTGCTGCCCAGGGATCCCAGTGATGCTTTTGTTACCAGTGGTTGTAGAGGCTGGTGCTGCGCCACTGGCCAGGCTCTGTGCTTGTGCCTCTATCTGTGGCAGAGCCCCCAGACCCACACCGGTGGCCAGTGGCTGTTGTGGGTCTTGCCAAAGTGCAGTCCAGTGGAGGATGAATCATGCAGAGAACATCCCTGCTAAAATACCCCTTCCAGAGCCAAAGCTGAGGCCATGCTGCCTAGCACCAGTGAGAAAAAGCGGGCTTTGTTTAAACACAGAGGGTCAGTGTCTCAGCTGGTCTAAATCACTTAAGCCCCATGAAGTCAAACAGTGATTTGCAGGGACTGTAGGTCTGGCCCATCAGTTTTAACCAAATGTGTCCTCTTTGAATCACAGCAAACAAATTTGTGGTGCCTGGAGTTAAAAAAAAGAGACTTGCTCCCTGGGAACATCCCATAAAACATCATTTCCCCTCTCCCTTGTCTGCCTGCCCGCTCCCACACGCTGTGACAAAGCTGGGATGTTCCCCAGGGGGATGAGGGGTCAGGGTGGCCAGGGCTAATTAAGCTCTGCAATGATACTTGGAAATAAAGTGAAACTTAGAGCAGTCAGTTGTGTGTAGCAGCTCCTGGGCCTTGTGCCCAAGGGAGGGTGAGGATGCAACCTCCCGCCAGCCACCAGTGCAGTTTTGTGGGCAGAGAAACAGGTGCTTTGGGGACTTTGTGCCAGAAGAGGTCAGGTCCTGGGGCAGCCAGACTGGGGGTTATCATCTTCCACCCCTTCCTGGGTGGAGGGATATTGTCCATCATTCCTGGGGCTTGGAGCTCTCTTTTAGATGCAGCAGGGAGCACCGACGTGTGCAGGGAGGGAGCACAGGGACCATGTAAAGGATATGAATCAAGGTGCTGCAGGGTACAGAGCCTGACCAGAGCTGTGATGTTGCTCCAAGAACAGCAGGACTGTAGAGACACATGAGCTATTTAGCTAGGATAGGCCACCAGTGTCCAGCCCTCCTTCACCAGCACTTATGTCAGCCCAAACAGACAGAGGAGGAAATAGGGGAAAGGAAGGATCAAGTCTCCTCTTACTCCAGGTATCATTATCTTGCTGTGGCTTGTGACTGATTTCTGAGCCACATGTGACTGTCAGCTCCATGCCCGGTCCCAGGAGTTTTGCTTCCTTCCATCCTCAGCCAGCCAAGCTGGAAATAGGACTGGTGTGGACCACGTGCAGCAGCACATGCCTTTACACAGCTGCCAAAGCAGCACCTTCATTTCCAGCACTTCCAAAGAGTGAAAGGTCCTGTAGGAACCTCATTGCTTTGGCTTTGCTGCACCTGGGTATCGGTGTCTGGACCTGGTGCTGGCCCATCTCACTCCAATCTTTCACCAGTGCAACTGTCCAGGCACCAATACTACAAGTCCTGGTGTAAGCCCACCATAGAGCCAATGCTGGCACTCTGATTCCATTTTTATTCAATGCTTCAGGGGGGACATTTAAGGCCTGGAATAAAGAGGGACTGGATTTCTTTAACATATGCTCATTCTTGTACAGTGGAAATACCATGACAAGAATAATTCTTGGATCATCTCAGCTCCAGTGCGAGCCTCCCAAGGCGTTAGGGAAAAGGAAGTGCTGATAACTATAAATACAGACATGAACAGAAGTGTAGCAATAGCTACACTTATTTGGGTTTACATGGAGACTAGTCTTTCCTGCAGAAATACAATAATGATTATCAGCAGACACCTGTCATCATTCCTTCACTGAACAGTGCTGCGAATCTTCACTGTGTCTGTGCTGCACAGAGGTTGGGCTGGATGAAGAGTCCTTCCTTACTCTTACTCTTCCTTACTTCCTTACGATCCACTTTACCCATCTCAAAGTCCCACACCTGGGCTTTCCTTTAACCAGAGCAATCAACCACAGCTGATGCTGCTGCACCACCTCTGCTAAAACCACACTGTGGCTGTGCAGAGCTCCTTTAGAGCTCAGTGCCCAGGTTTTACAGCTGGTGTCCGTGGATGTCACATCATTTATCCATCTCTATCAACCCTGGCCTTTGGCAGGGGCTGCTCTCTGGCACAGCCTGCTCCTGCTGGAAGCTCATCAGTGATGTGGAAGAGCAGTGAGTCTGAGGCAGAGGTAAACCTGAGCTCATCTCAGAGGTGGCTGGCCCTCTCCAGCCCATATCTTCTTGTGTTGCTTGGAATAGTAATGAAAAGTTGGTAAACACCAGCTGTTGTGCTAAGCAGAAGTGGGTGAAGTATGTAAACTGGGCAATTTAGATTAAAAGTCATTTATTTTCACAGCAACCTGGGGTTTTGTTCAGTGATAATTGAGATCATAAATATGTATGCCAGAAGGCGCATCAGAGGTTGATGCTGGGAGGCTGAGCAACAGCCAAGAGTCACTGACTGTATCTGCATGTGCTTACACAAAATTTCCCTTCCCTGCACTATGGTAAGTTGGGCAGCAGGGCAATGCAGCCCATCTGTGTGTGCTGAGATAGGGGGCTGTGTCTGCACTGCTGGTGTCCCTGTCCTGAGAGCTTATTATGTCCCTCGAGGGAGGAGAAGCATCAAGCATGGGTCAACCCTGGAGCTGTCATCTCTGCTCCGTGGTCACAGGGCACCCAGATATCCCCAGGTTTTACCAGCAGTGATCTCGAGTCACTTTCTGCTCTGATGGGCATCGGCAGGATAGATGGGAGACCAAGTGCTGGATGCTGTGCTGGGCTTTGCCAGGGAAAACATCTCTCTGGGACTGGAGAGGGCAGAGAGAGTGAACTGGTAAACATGGTACAGAAAACATTATCCCTTCCAAGTGTACAGCTGGTAGAAACCACGTGTGCCTGTGACATGGGCCACATGGAAGGGCAACTGGCTCTCCTGGGTACATGTTAATGGGCAAAGAGCGATATGTTCCTGTCCTGTTCCAGCTCTGCAGGCAAGCATGATGGTGCCAGGGCTCACTAAGGGTCCCAGCTAAGCTGCTTATAGCTCCCCAGCTCCTGCATGCTGTCCCAACAGAGGGGAAACAGAGGCAGGAAACCTGGCAGCAAGAGGCTCCCCTTGCAGCACTGGAGACAAGTGTATGAAACAGCACAAGTTCCAACAATTCCTGTCACTGCAGGAGAGGGATAAAAATTAAAAAGCCTGTATTTGGCTGCCATGGAAGCTGTTGGGATACAGGCCAGGAATGGGGATGAATATAAAGAAACGAGCCTCTGAGCATCCAACAGTTTTGAGAGAGGAAGGATAAATTCTTACAGAACCAAATCCCCTTTGTGCACTCGTTATGGGGTGGTTGGTTTATTCTGCTATGCTGTTTGGGGTTTATTCTTTCTTTTGCACCTGCTCTGACAGTGGTGTTGGGGCCACACAAGAATGCATAAACACACATCAGTGTGTGGGGAGCAATGGCTGCAGCATTTATGTCCTGACTCTAAGGTTTAATTCTCTTTGGGACACCTTCAGTTCATTGCAGCTGGTTTTTGAATTGCAGCATGACTTTTACTCACTGCTGTCCAAGGTTTACGCTCTGCTTAATCCGAAAGTAGTACAATGTTAAGCCCCATTGTTCCAGTGCTTTGGGAAGGGTTTGCAGGAGTTCCTATGTGACTCCAGTGTGCCAGGCTTGTGTTGTTCTGAAGTCTCCCCCAGACTCCCCTAACCCCTCAGCTGGGCTTTCCCATCTTGTCCGTCTCATGATCTGACAGAAGGATAAACTCTGCTCTGGTAATAGCTACATTTGGGACAGACCATGCTGGAGCACTGCTGAGGTGCAAGGCACCTGCAGGGATGCTGTGCATCTCTGGGCAGCCAAAGTAGGCAGGAGTATCATTGCCTTCTGGGTCAATCTCTGCCCTCTGTGTCTGCATCCTGTTATGTTCTGTTTGACACTCCAGGAGCTCCGGTTTTTGGAGATGACAGGTTCTGCTTTGTACCTCACTGCTTCTAGAGTAGGGTTACGAGCCTGTTCTGGCCTCTGTCAGTGCTTTTCTCCTGTGTCCTGTTGAACTCCTCTTCACAGTGTCTTTGTCTGGGATTTGCATCTTCTTAAATCTCGATGCTGTCTTGATGAACCAGTAGACATGAGCACTAACAGTACGGTTTGTCCTCAGATTTTTCCCAAACCTGCCTTGAAAACTGGCACATGTCTGTTTTCTTGATGCCTTGTCCCTCTGTGCTCTCAGTATTCGTCTCAGACTGGAAATCTCTTGATCCTGCTTACCTGTTGTATTTTCACATGGAAGGATACAATGGGTAAAGAGACACTTAGGCAAGAGTGTCTGTGGGGTGCCTTACAAATCCTATTAGTCTCTGAAGGGACATTTGGTGATTTACATTTGCTTTTTGGCAGGAAGGCTGTTGCCTTTGGAAGTCACTGAAAATTTCATCTTGCTTTTGTCCAAGCTGAATCCTCCTCCTGCCTCTCCTCAAAGACCGAAGCTAGGGCTGTGATGGTTGGTGGGTCAGTGCCTTACCCCAGAATGTCATCTGCTGTGGCATTGCCCTGCCAGCCCTGCTGCTCGCAGTCCTGTTCTTCCACTTGCATTTTAACTCAGGTTTGTGACTGTCTACATCTGGCTGATGGGGAAGGAGAATGTTACACGA